ACAACTAAATGCTAGTAGAGTCATTGTGCAGAAAAAACTAAACAAACTTTTTGGCCAATCCTATCCAACGGTATGGCTGTGATAAGGACTGATCAATGGAACAGAAAAGAGTCCACAGCCCTGGCCAACCAGCATCTGATAGTCCAAGGCTGCGGTTCAATCACCAGTCAGAGCACATACAGGAAACAACCAATGAGTACATAATAAGCAAAACAACAAAATCAAAGTTTTTCTCTCCCCACAAAAAGTAAAAAAAATATATATATATAAGAACAAAAGAGAGTCCAGAAACCAATGGCCATTTATACAGTCATCTGAACGTTAATAATGGGACCACTACAATACGATGGCTTTTCTTAACCTCACCCAAGGATATGTTTATTGATTTTAGAGAGAGGAACGGAGAAAGGGAGAGAGGGGGAGAGAGACAGAGAGAGAAATATCGATGTGAGAGAGAAACATCGATTGGTTGCCTCCTGTACGTGCCCCAACTGAGGACCAAACCCACAACCTAGGTATGTGCCCTGACCGGAATTGAACTCACAACCTTTTTGGATGACACTCCTACCAACTGAGCCACCAAGCCAGGGAACAATGGCATTTTCAACAAATAATGCTGGAACAACAATCTATATGGGAAAAAAATTTTACTTGTTTTTTTGCCACAAAATATTTTCACACTATTCACAGATACTAGAGATGGATCATAGGCTTAATTATGAAAGCTAAAACTATAAAATATCCAGGAAAAATACAGAAGTATGTGTTCACAACCTGGAAGTAGCCAAGATTTCTTAAAAAGTACTCAGAAAGCAGTAACTATAAAAGGAAAAAAATTAGAAATATGACTACATCAAAATGTAAAACTTCTCTTATTTAAAAAACTCTAAGAAAATAAATAGGCAACCACAACAGACTAATATCCAGGATATATAAAGAATTCCTACAACTCAATAATAAAACTGGGCAAAAGATGTGAATAGGCATTTACAAAGGAATATAAACAAATATCAGCAAGTGCAGGAAAAAATGCTCAATATCATCCTAATCAACAACTAAAATTAAAATCATAGTAACATACTGCGCTATAGCCACCAGAATAGCTAAAAATAAAGACTGACAATGCCCAAAGTTGGCAGGATGTAAAGAAATTAGACCTCTCACACACTGTTGGCAGGCAATAGGGAGATAAAACTACTGGGCTGCAAACACGTTACCCTTCTTGAAAAAGGGGGGAATAACTCGAAGACAGAGCCATAGATCCAGAGGGTGAGTGGCAGGCCACAGACCCCTGGTCCCAGGCCTGGAACCTAACAGCTCTTTCTATACGTTGGGCATCAGCCCTTTGTCAGAGAGGTGTCAGTGCTTGCCTGTTCATTTTCTTAGAGTTGCCTTTGATGAGAAGTTTTAAATTTTCATTAATCCCATTTATCTTTTTTTTTTTAAGTGGTTATTGTTTTCTGGGTCTTGGCTAAGAAATCTTTTGCACACTCTCAGGTCAAGAAGATATTCTTCTATATTTTCTAGAAGCCTTACAGTTTTATGATTCTGGAAATAAATCTGATCACTACTTAAGAAATTAAATATGCTTCTGCCACATAACCCAAGAATTCTTCTGATAGATATTCTCCCCAGAAAATAAAAATGACCAAAAAAAGACTTGTAGGAGAAAAAAATAAAAGCTTTGTAGGGGTAAGGGGAAAGAACTTGAATTAGGGTAGTGGCTGTGAGCATGAAATAGATGAATTCAAGGGATATTGGAAGGTAAATAAGATTGGACACATTTTTATTCTTATCCATTTCCTTATACCTAGAAACATTCCTAATTGCATGTGGAAGGAGGAAAGAATAAGGGTATGAAGCATATTACATAAGGAAGTTTTCCTCTTTTGTCTGACCTCTTTTCTTTGTATTAAATACAGGAGAGGGCATAATCATGAAGAGTAATAAAAATCACCTTCAAAAGCTTAGAACTTTAGTTTGTAAACCATGGAAAACAATGGGAATTTTAAGCTGAGAGTGATAAAATTATATTTATGCCTCAGAAGGGTCTTTGTCAACAGCAAATAATTGAGGGAAAGATCAGTTAGGAGTCTGTGTTACAACTGTCCGGAACGGAAATAATAAAGGCTCAAGGACCATGGAAATGTAGAGAGAGGATGGCCCCGGGTATGCATCACAGGAGGCAGAACTGACAAGACTCAGTGATGGATGCGGATCAATAGCAGGATTGGATATTGAGGGGGTTTTTCCCTTCTGTTTTCATTTATACACATGCTGCTATCACTGTGATACAAAAAATAGTTTAACAAGAGTGGAAAAATCTTTTTTAAGTAAGAAAAAGGAACTGTATCTCAAGATGTCATCTCCTAACTACATTCTAAATAGAATTAATCCTGTGTTTGCAGATCATGTTAGACATACATGAAATCATGTAGCACACATAATTCTGATTCAGTCATTCGAGAACAGAGGGGACACACACTAACTACTGAATCTCCAGCACTTAATGTAGTCCCTACCCAGCACACAGTATAAAGAACATTTTAGCTTTATTTTAGCTTCTCCACTTCAAAACTGCCAGTATGGTATTAAAAATGAATATCTTAAGTGAAAAAATGCTAAAAGTTACAGAGATTTAAAAATATTCACACCAGGCTTTCTGCCTTGAATATTTAAATTGGCAATACAATCAATTCTTGTTATTCACAGCAGTTATGTTCTATGAATGCTGAATGATCAAATTCCAAACCATTGCTCCTAGGAAAAATAAAGGGCTAGGTTCCTGCAAGCCTCTAGACACGACAGTTTGCCAACCAGTCAATACATAACCTTGTTTTATGTGTGTTTCCGTTTAATGGCACCTTATTTAATATATATTATTGATTCATTAACATTGCATTCTCTGCTGAACAAAGCTTATCTAAAAGAAGTTTGTCTTTGCAAGGCACATCACAGCCTTCTTGCTAAACAAGACAGCCTTTCAGTAATATGATTGGAGTCCTTTCTATGCAGTGAAATCACCAACAAAAAGCACAAAATGTGAAAGGAAAAAAACAAACAAACAAAAACCCTGGCATTAAATATACCTGCAACAAGGACTCTCGTTTCCAGTATAAGAGTTGAAACAAGAAGACAGAGCATCCCCTGGTTTCCCTGGTTTAACCTCAACTGGGAACAGGCACATTGGGCAACTGAAATTATTCAGCGCTCTGCACATTTGCAAAAGTGCCCTGAGTACTAATTTGGGATTTGGGGTTTCAAAGAAATCCTAGCGAATAAATTTGTAAAGATCAAGTATAGGCTTTTTTTTTTTTTTATCCTCACTTGAGGACATGCTTATGGATTTTAGAGAGAGGGGAAGGGACAGAGAGGAGCAACGACGTGAGAGAGAAACATTAATGGGCTTCCTCTTGCATGCACCCAGGCTGGGGACCGGACCCCAACCCAGATATGCCTTGACCAGAAATCGAACCTGAGACCTTTCCGTTCACCAGAGGACACTCCAACCAACCGAGCCACAACAGTCAGGGCCGCGGTATGGGTTTTTTTAAAAGGTAAAACCACTCTCCACAGCTGTCTCAGTTGCATTTTCGTACACACTCATCTGCAACCACACCCAATTCATACACAAGTAACACGTCATGGCATACATTACACAGCAGCATCTCTGATGGGAACTGCACGCAGTTCCCACTACAATTAACGGTCTCATCAGTTCTGACTTCAGAAAGACAAACTTTCCTAACATGGGGTCATTGAAATACTTGACCCAATCCCAGAGTTAAATTTAGTTTTAAAATGTTTGCATCTCAGACTCAGAGTTCTGTGAAGGAATACACCTTAAAAGAGGTAGGAAGCCAAAAAGTGAAGAAAAAGGCCTGTAAACTAATAGAGAAACAAAATGTGGTATATCCCTACAACTGATTATTATTGTATTATTCAGTCATAAATAAAAAAAAAGAGTGAATTTCTGGCACATGCTACATGAACAACCCTTGAAAACATACTATGTGAAATAAACCAGACACAAAGGACAAATACTGTATGATTCCACTTATGTTAACTATCTAGAACTGGCAAATTCATAGAGACAAAAAGATTAGTGGGGCTGGGGGCAAGGCGAAATTAGAGGTGTCTGCTAATGAGTCCCCGGTTTCTTAGAATGTTCTTTAATTATATAATGGTGGTTGTACAACCTTGTGAATATACTAAAAACCACTGAATCGCTCACTTTAAAAGGATACATTTAATCGTTTATGAATTGTACTCCATTTTTAAAAAACTGATCTAAAAGGATGAGTACGAGGCCAAACTGTCAAATTCCTTTTCAATGGGTCATTCTTTCCAAACAGCCGCCACTCCTGCCGCCGCCCTTCAGCTGACGCAAACTTCAGCACCCTTCCCTCCGTTCAACAAGCAGCCTTCAGCGGCCCTGCGCCTGCACAGGGACCGCCACGGCTAACAGTAAGGGGCCTCATCCTGTGGTGGGGGCCTGGGCTTTGTACTTCGGGGGTTGGTGCAAGTTTCCTGTACCGCTGCCCCTCCGAACAAAACTCTCAAGAAGCCGTGATCCTGAACCCCTCCTGTACTTGACTACAGGCCTCTGGACTCAGGATCACGATGCTGGGACCCGCAGGACGAGCTCCACCATCACTCCGGTACTCTACCCGGAACCTGAGGCGCCCTAGATCCACAGCCCCCAGCCAGAACCACCCCACTGGGCCGTCCTCCCCCCTCACTTACGCGCCTCCAGCAGCGCGCGGTGCACGCAGGGAGCTCAATCTAGGCTAAACGCAAGGGAAGGGAGTTTACATGGAGCCGCGGAGGAGACTGGGAAGGAAGCGCAAGGGCGCTCTGGGAAGAAGGTCCCTTACGAGAGCAAGCCCGGAGCAGGGGCAGGAACAGCAACAGCAGGGGAAGAAGCCGGAAATCACATCCGAGAACAGCCACAAAGCAATCTGTCCAAAGCCAGAAGCAAGCTGGGAGCCCATGCTGACCTCCAGTCTCTAGACCGGGCTGTCGTCGCTCCCGCTGCCTGCAGTCCCCGACTGCACCTCCTCCTTTCGCGGTGCCCGGATCTCCGGTGCCTCTGGGCAGGTGGGGGTGGGGTGGGGGGAAGCTCCCAGTGAGCATGCGTTAAAGCTTCTTGGGGCCCACTTTTTGCGTGTCTTCCTACAGGACTTCACAAACCCATTCCAGGTTTAGAATGCAGCTGTGGGTCAGAGGAGGAACTTCTCAATACATATCCCTGCACGGTAGGGGTACGGCAAGAAAAAAACATGTTAAGTCTCACTAAGAAAAGGCTGTCAGCCTTGGCGGTGTATCTCAGTTGGTTAGATTGTTGTCCGGATATGCCAAGGTGGTTATCATCCTGGGTCAGGACACAGACAAGAAACAACCAATGAATGCATAGTTGAGGGGAACTACAAATTAATGTTTCTTTACCCCTTCCCCCACGCTCATATCAATTAATTTTTACAAAAAAAGATTTTTTAAAGACATGGTTCTCGGGGCCATTCATAGATTCCACCCCGATAGGTACAGTAAACCAAGGCACACCACCACTCATCACCTAATGACTTCTTAGATTAGCTAGGACAGAAAGGAAATGAATGTGTGGGACTTGTGAAACAGGAGTCCTTTAGAATATCCCTGGGAACTGTCCCTTGCCATCTGGTGATGCTTGCACATCCAATTAGCAATGATCAAAAATAAGATTAAAAAGTGTAGTCATCACACACCCCTAAATTAAGTACTAAGAATAGCAAAAAAATTACGTTTTCAAATTGGTTGTTTCAATAAATCCCTTTTAAATGGACTGTTCATTATCTAAACAGTAACACTTAAGAGCAACTCATTTCCTGGATGACTACTAATCTTTCCAGTAACACCACGGGAAGCTGAGTAAAAAGCCAAGAATCGGATCCAATGCATAAATAATTTATTTGATAAAGGTGTCATTTCAAGTCAACCAAGAAGAGAACGCTTACTTTTTAAAGTGGTGTTGGGGTATTTAGTTAACTATTTGGGTGAGATTCCTTATCAAAATATATACTAAAATAAATTACAATTGAATTCAAGGGTGAAATCTGAAACACAAAGATACTCAAAAACCAAAGTAAAATACAGATGAATATCCTACTTCAGAATGGAGAAGAGTTTTTCTAAGTAAAAAAGTCGAGAAATAAATTGTAAACATGGATATAAGTACCTACATAAAACTTTTACTTCTGGAAGTAGAAAATAAAATTTTAAAAGTAAAGAAGAAAATGGTGGGGGGATATCATTACCATGTATGGTAAAGAGAGTTCATACTTAAATAGTTCTAACAATTCAAGAAAAATAGATAAATGAAATGAGTGCGTATTTCACGAAAGGAGAAATATAATGTGAAAAAAGTTTAATAAAAGTAAAAAGCATGCATACTAAAATAAGCATATCATTGTACCCATTTCTATTTTAAATTAGGAAATTAAAATAGTTCTTTGATAATTCATACATGAAAAGCAGACCTATGCTCAGACTTACCTATTGTTATCAGTTGATGTATATTCTTGCTGACCTTGTATGATGTTCATACATTTGAGGCATGATAGTAAGAAGCTAGGAAAATTCCTTGGCAAGTGAAATGGGAAAACTGAGACAGCTGAACAAACTGGCCAAGCAATTTACAGCCAGGTACAGAAGGTCACCTCCCTAGAGATATTATCTAGACCTCAGTTGTATTTCAGCTCTAGGCCCAGAAAAGCAGCGAAACCAGGTGCGTGACACCAGGACCAGCTGCAAATGACTAACGACCCCCTGCCCAGGTGCCACCCTATGAGTGGAGACCCCAGCACTGAAAGAGCACACCTGGAAAGGGGGTGAATACCTTCCCTAAACTCCCAGCCTTAAAAGACTCAAAACAAAGGACCTAATGCCCGCTCTCCCTTCCCCAATTTTTTTTTTTTTTCCTTCACAGGTGTGCATCTTCTAAACTCTAAGGGTCCCCATGAGACTTGCAACCAGGACAGCAATGGACAGTGGCAGCTTGTCTCCAAGCCACTCTTTCTCTGACTTAGTGAGCTAAAGCAGCCCTGAATCAGCTCACTTCTTTCCTATAACATCTCTAGAGAGCCAGAGGAGCCCCACCTAGGCTCTCTGCTGTTGCTGCTTCTCTTCTAGGCCCTTCCTCACTTCACTCTCCCCAGCTTTAAAAAATGTATTCTCAAAATCACCTGGACTCATTTTGTAAAAATCTTTCCTGCACTAAGTCAAGAACCCACATACTACCAGCTGACCCTAGGAAGGCTGCTCCAGGCTGGTCCCCTTTCTGGTAACACATTTATATAAGTTTCTCTGATAATATTTAGTGTAGATGATACTCTCACACTGCTAGCAGGAATATAAACTGACGCAACCTTCAGGAAAGCAATCTGGCAATATATATTAAAAATATAGAGAGTTCCAGTCAGGATGGCAGCATAGGTAAGGTAAATGCGGTACTCACATCTCCCCACAACCGCATCAAAATTACAACTAAACTGCAGAACAACCATTATTCAGAAATGCCTGAAACCTATCTGAATGGAAGTCCTGCAACAAGGGATTTAAAGAAGAAGCCACATCAAGACTGGTAGGAGGGGGTGGAGACATGGAATGGGCTGGTCCCATACCCATGTGTGGCAGATATAAATTAGGAAGGCTATCTCGGCTGCAAAGATCCCCTCCCCGAGGACTCAGAGGTCCCAGGCCCAGATCAGGCTTCCCAGCCCAGGGTTCCAGTACCAGGTAGAACAGTCCCCATAACTTCTGGCTGTAAAAACCAGTAGAGATTATGGTTGAGATGGAGGGCTTCTGGAGACCCATGGTTCCTCTTGAAGGGCTAAAAAATGGACTTATTCTGACTCTCTCCCAGCACTGAGGCAGCAACTCAAAAGGCACCAGGGACATTCAGTGAGGAAATGAATTGTATGGCATCAGGGCTAGAAGTGGAGATGCAGCCTTCTGCCTGACAGTAGTGTTGGCAGAGGCCCTTGCTCCTTTTCTGAGCCTTCCCCCAACAAAGATGGCAGGCTGGTACCATATCTGAGTCTCCATCAACCTGGCTAACATTGTTTGCCCAGTCTTAGTGATTTCCAGAGACTCCGCCCCACCAACTTGCAGACCCACCTAAGTTGTTTCCAGTGGCTCTTCCATGCAAATGACTAGTCTTGGCTCACATTTCAGACTTTCCTAAAATCTCTCAAATAAGCAACATCTGGCCTTGACGTGTCCCTACCTCTAACTAAGTGGACCCAGCAGTCTGTCTCGGTTTGCAACTTGGCCTCAACTGGGTACCTCCAGGACAAGTAGCAGCCATTTGCCGATGACTTTGTAGCACATGCCAGGTGGCCCCAGGCAGGACACACATGGTGGCTGACCATGGCCATTACCTTCTGGGAGGCCCCAGAGCCAGCATACCTGGATGATAGCTCAGGCCACATCAAATCACTACCCAATCACCACCATAAGCAACCTGTTCAAGGTGTGGACTCTGTGGGCATCAAAGCCCTACTGAAGTAAGTCCTCTTTGCAGTAGGTGACTACACAGCTGACCCTCCAGACTGGTCTGTGGTTGCAGCCAATCCTTATAGCCAATTGGCCTGGGGGTAAATCCATCCGATTGATGTGTCGATAGCAATCAAGGCACAACTACAGGAGGATGTTCACAGCCCACATGGGGTGATGAGGAGTGAGCACCTGAAATGCCCAATTTGGGCAAATAGGGAAGCTGTGCCACTGAACCCTACAGGATACCTACATTAGGTCAATCTATCAAGTCCAGGAAACATAGAAGATCTACCTATTACACAGAATCAAACACAGGGAGGCTGTCAAATGAGGAGACAAAGAGACATGTCACAAATGAAAGAACAGAACAAAACTCCAAAAGAAGAAATAAACAAAACAGAGAGAAGCAATCTACTAGATGCAGAGCTGAAAACAGTGGTTATAAGGATGCTCAATGAACTCAGTGAGAACTTAAACACAATAAAAAAGAACCAGTCAGAAATAAAGAAACTGAGAATGAAAACAACAATTGGGACTATAAGGAAGCAAAAACACCCAGTCAGAAGAGCAAAAGAAAAAAGAATTTAAAAAAATGAGAATAGTATAAAGAGTCTCTGGGACAACTTCAAGCATACCAACATTTGCAGCATGGGGGTTCCAGAAGGAAAAGAGAGAGAGTAAGAAATTGAGAACCTATTTGAGAAAATAATGACCGAAAACTTCCCTGACTCGGTGAAGGAAATAGACACAGAAGTCCAGAAAACACAAAAAGTCCCAAATGAGATGAATAAAAAGAGGCCCACACCAAGACACATCATAATTAAAGTGCAAAATGTTGACCTGGCTGGGTAACTCATCTGGTTAGAGCATTTTTCCAATATACCAAGGTTGTGGATTTGATCCCTGATCAGGGCACACACGGAAATCAACCAATGGTTGCGTACGTGGGTAGAACAACAAATCGACATTTCTCTTTCTCATACAGAAACATTCCCTTTCTCTTTCTTTAAAATCAATAAAAATATTTTTAACAACAAATATTTTTAATTAAGAAAATGTAGAAATTTTAAGACAAAGAGAGAATCTTAAAAACAGCAAGAGAAAAGCAGTTAGTTACCTTCCATGAAGCTCCCATAAGACTGACAGCTAATTTCTCAACAGAAAATTTGCAAGCCAGCAGGGATTCACAAGAAATATTCAAAGAGGTGAAAAGCAAGGACCTACAACCAAGCTTACCCTACAGAGTTATCATATAGAACTGAAGGACAGACTTCCAGCCAAGATGGAGGCATAGGTAGATACACTTTGCCTCCTCCCACAACCAAAAGAAGGATAACAACAAATTTAAAAACAAAAAATAACCAGAACTGCTAGAAAATCTAACTGCATGGAAGTCTGACAATGAAGGAGCTAAAGAAGAAACATTAATCCAGACTTGTAGGAAGGGCAGAAACAGGCAGCTGGGGTGGAGAGGATGCGTGACACGGTGGCGGCTGGAGGATCAGGCAGATGAGGTGAAGGCTGGCAGGCTGTGCAGTCCCAT